ATAAATGGCCCAGTCCATTTATTTTGATGTTTGCACATTAAAAGCATGAAGAGATATTCTCTAAGTTGCATTTAAGAGAGCTCCTGTTGCACTGTGGAAAATATTTATTCTTGGACATCAGTAACTATTTTCGGCAGGTCGACAGATCCAGTTCAGTCTTGTCTGATGTGATGCATATCTATGCATATGTATACATCTGCATGTATTACTTGGCAAGTAATTGCCTGTAATACATCAATTGCGCACTCCTTATTGTCATCTGAATGATAGCGTATGTACCAAGCTGTGCCTTCAAGCTCATCTGATTGTGCAGCTGAATTGTTTTGGGCTTGCTTCGTTCAGTGGCGTGTAGAGAGCAGGTGTGTGTCGCTCTCTGCTGAGCTGGCAGTGATCTCATGTTGGCTCAGATGTCGAGTGTTGATGTACACTCCCGAGCCGTCAGTCTGATCGCTGCCTCATCTTCGGATCAGTCCATCTTCAAGTCCATCTGCACATGTGACAGCCGTCTATGAGCTCATTTCTTCACGTGTAAGGATGTGTCGTTTAGGGATTTAGGGAACATGAATATTAATTGAATAATTGTGAATCAGGTAATGCTTTTAAATTATGATTATGAGTCAGGCAGTGCTTTTAAAATAAAAACTGGAGGGAAAAAAAGATTTTATTGCACCAGCTGGTGATGTTCTAATTTTTATTTTTAAATGTGCATTTTTTGTGTGTTGTTATTGATAACTAAAACTACTGTATTAAAAAGTTAATTTTCATGATTGAAATGAAGCTGAAAAAATATAATGTAAATTATGAAAAACTTGAATGAAAATGAGGAATGGTGCCTTGGAGCGGAAATAAAAAATATACAATTAAAATATATTTTTAAAAATTATAAAAGCACAACAAATATACTAAATCTTAAACTAAAATGAAACTAGAAACTAGTTACTTATATAGTTTTTATTAATATTTTTATTAATAAATTAGGTTTTAATTTTAGTTAAAGTTTTAGTAATTTAGTTGTGTGTATTTTTGTCATTTTAATAGGTTTTACTTTTTAAAATATGTCTATATAGTTTTTTTTATTAAATTTTATTTTAGTTAGTTAAAATAAGAATTATTATTTGCTTATTTATATTATATGCTTATTTATTTATTTATTTTATTTATTTATTTATTTTCAGTTAACACCTATTTTATTTCAAGTAATGATTTTTTTTAATGGTTTTAGTTTTAGGTTCAGTTCTGATAATATAAATTTTTCTGATAATTATATTAAAATAAAAGCTAATTCAACATATAATAAATATTATAATATATATTATATAAATAATACTAAAATAAAACTGGCACCAGCTGTTTTTCATTAAAAAAAATTATTTTTCCAACCAGAATATTACACATAGGTTATGATAAGGTTTTTTGTTTGTTTGTTTGTTTGTTTAAGTCAAATCTAATCTGACCATTAGAGAGCTGTCCTTTATTAATAGTGTTTATTAAGGGTAAGAATCACTCGTACTTTGACTTAGGAATTTGAATAAACCTCTAACACTTAATACTTATATAATCATCTCATACTGCTTGTAGACATGAATGATATCTCAAATCACGCAGCTTTATAAAAAGAGATGATGTTACTGTTCTGCTTGGTGGAAGATTAAATAGAAATCTAGGGTCCTCGTATCTTGGGCCCAGAATATCATAGTAGTAGTGGTTTCCTTTGACTTCGCCAGTGTTTTATGTTGTTGTTGTTTTTTATCAGCATTGTAATAACGTTACTCCAACATTGTAAGTCATGGCCATCAAATGGAGGTTCTTCTCATGAGGCTTAGCAGCTTAAACACGACAGGCTTGAAAAACCAGAAAATGGGGTCTAAAGTCCAATCCTCTCATAATTGCATGCTAGCCAAAGGGATTTAGCTGTTAATGCGCTGAGGGGGGGGGATGCATCACACACACACACACAAACACACACACACACAGAGAGCTGGCTGAGTCTCAGGGGGCTTGACATCAGGGCCGGGGCAAAGATGAACCGACGATCCCATGATGCCAAGGAAGTGTAGGACTAATTAAGGAGTTCAGTTTTCTTTCCTGTTGTATTCTGGTTATTATGATGCCTGTTTTACATTAAAAGTGTGCATTATTTAAAGGTCCCCTGAAATGCTTAGAAACACGCAGCGTTACTCTATGTGTTGACGTCATTTTAACTGAAACAGGAAGAGAGGGCGGGACATATCAAGCAGCCCCGCCCCTTGTAAATGGACATGTATTGGTCCAGTTGTTGTTGTTGTTGTTGTTGTTGTTTTGTAGTGTTGTTAAAGTTGCAATCAAAGTATGGCTCACTGAACTTTTACAGCAAAACAAATCTGAAATCCTCACGAGTGACTTGTCTACCCGGTAAAGTGAAGTGTTCATCTCTAGCGCCCTCTAGTGTTTCACTTTTTATTAGATCCCATCCTTATAGACCGCCATGGAATGATGTGATGAACATTTTTTAACATATATTCAAAATAAAAAGGAATTCGGAGTGGGAAATATAAAATTAAATATACATAAAATTAAATGTGTATCTCATTAAAATGTATATCTTTATTATTATTATTATTAATAGTACTATTTTAGATGTTTATTTATATATATATATATATAATAGATATTTATTTAATATAATAATGTTAACTTAGTAATAGTGAGAGAAGACCCATTCATTTTAATGAAGAGAGAAAGCATTAAACAAACATTTATGTTTATGTACATCTGTGAGCAGTAGATGATGTTATCAGTGTTTTTGTTTGTTTGTTTGTTTTTAGTTTAGAAGAGAATGTTTTGTTTGTTTGTTTTTAGTTTAGAAGAGAATGTTTTGTTTGTTTGTTTTTAGTTTAGAAGAGAAGGTTTTGTTTGTTTGTTTTTTTAATGCTAAAATTATTTAGTTAACTTTTAGGAGTGTACTAGCATTATAGTGGATCTTATAGATAGATTTATATAATCCACAAATTAAATTTTTTTTTATTTCCTTTAATAAGCAGCTATTTTGTCACTGGAAAAACGCACTAATAAAGGGTGATGTTGTGAGGTTTTTGCACAGCAGTGCTGTCTTCCCTGTTATTTTGTGCGCCGGTGCATGTGAATGTGTTCCCAGCATGCATCTGTGTAGCCATACATCCCACAGTCCACCTGTGACAGCTCTTCAGATTTAAAGGTTTGGTCTCTACAGCAACACATTGAAAGCTCTGCTGTTTTCTCAGACTCACTGCCCGCTTGGCAGGACATGGCCACTTTTATGATCGCGTTTACCCCTCGAGCTCATTGTTAACAAGCCATCGGGAGCGCAGAGAAGCTGGTATGAACCGGATGGCCCAGTCTGGGCCCCTTGTGCTTTAGACGAGCCGAGAGCCGCCTGCTGAGCGCTGCCCACCAGAGACCCCACTGAGACCCAGACAATACCCCAGCCCCGAGCCTTTACATAACACTGCACTCACTCGCCCGCAGTCACATATCGGCCAGAAATCAGCCTCAGTCTTTCTGTCTTTCACACAGTTTTTCAGTGCAGAAATATTTGAAATGTGTCTTTGATTCATAAAACCTATACATTAAAGAATGCATGCAACTGTATATTAAAGATAAATATTTGTAATCATTTATTTTATAGGTGAACACCAAAAGAAAGCAAACGATCATTCCATGAGTCCTGTTATTCCGAGGTACGTTATCAGAAAATATGAATGCATGAGACTTGTTTCCTGTGCAGTTTATGTGTACTTTCCTTATGCAGAAATATTCAGATGTATAAAACCATAAATAGAGAGGACTGAAAATGCATTTGGGCATTTAAGCCTCACTTATAATTATACAACCAAAAAAAAAGTTATATTACATTTTTAAATGTCAAGTAAGTGTTCGATTACATTTTGTAGCTCAGGTCATAAATACTTTGATACAGTTTTATTGTAGTCTCTTATAAGAAATACAATTCGGGATGTAATATGGAAATAATAGTAATTAAAATAGTAATAATAACTTACAGTAAGTTCAAACTGAATGTAATGTTTTCAGACACAAAATGTTGATTGGAAATGAAAATGTATTATAGTTTAAATTTATATTAAATGCAATTAGCTGAATTTCAGTGGTTTTCCCTCAGTTAAGTACATCATCCTTATATGTAATTTCATAATTACTTCTATTGTCTTTGAAATATGGTTAAAGTGTACCGTCGAATGTACTGACCAGCATTTATGATCAACTGAAATATACTTTAATGTCATTTCTATTGAAACTTGTATGTCATGTTTAAATATATTTGTAATGAAGTTGCAATTTTGTACATTTAAAATAAATAAAAATAAATAATTTAAAATATCAAATAACATACTACAGTTCAAATTGTTTCTTTTAATATATATAAAAATGACAAAATTATCAGATTACAATGATTTGCAATGCACGTTAAAGTAAAACTTCCAAAATGCACTTTAAGTGTACTTAAGTGGCCTTTTATTTCATTAATATTATATTGTTTGCAAGTACTGTTTATATTTACACTACCGGTCAAAAGTTTGGGATCAGAACGATTTTTAATGTTTTTTACAGGAGTTTCTTATGCTCATAAAGACTGCATTTATTTGATAAAAAATACAGGAAAAAAATATAATATGGTGAAATATTATTATGATGTAAAATTATGTTTTTCTATTTTAATATACATTAAAATGCCATTTATTCTTGTGATGCAAAGCTGAATTTTCAGCATCATTACTCTACAAGTCTTACTGATTCCAAACTTTTGACTGGTAGTGTACATATATATATATATATATTCTTGTATGACTACAAGTGCACATTCAATACTCTTAAGTGCACTTCTTTTTTTCTTTTTTTTTTAAGGTCATATGGGCCCCAGTATGAGGTAGATATTACAAGTCTCTGTGTGTTTCCTCCTGCAGAAGACAAGCTTTTCGATACAACCCTGTTAAGGAGAGGATGGAAAAGCCTGAGGTAGAACGAGCTCATGTGGTAAACGGGAACCCCATCTCTCCTTATTTCACCAAAACCAGCAGTTCAGAGTGGAACAGCTCCGACGATCTTGCCGGTCCCTTTTCCGAGCTGGAGGATTCCTCCTCACGTGCTGACGTTCCTCCTCAGGTTCCCTCTCGGACTCTGTCTCACACCGCAGCTCCGCCAGTGCCTCCCAAACCACACGGTCTGAGTTCAGAGAACCGGCGACGAGATCCCCGTCCTCCCAGTCCTCAGCGTCTTCCTCGAAACAGCTCGGCTCTGTCCCAAACCGTCCTGCAGAAGTGGCTGGAAAACTCGGACACGAGCTCCAAGTCTGGCTCCTCTGATCAGGACAGGAACGATCTGTCAGCGAGTGAGGGTGTGGAGAAGTTCTCCAGCTTTCCCAAACCTGCGGCCGGCTCTGCTGTCATCCCCAGCACCTACTTCTCCGTGGACGGCTGCATGACGGACACGTACCGTGCCAAGTACCATAAAAAGAGACCTGCTCTGTATGTAAGGGCAGACTCTAGAGCCGGAGATCACACCTCGTCTGGTGAAAGTGATTACGGGGAAAGACTGTCCCCGGCTCCTGCAGAAACACAGGCCCCACAGCACCCCAGAGCCACAGCGCTGCCAGGTAACATCAGGCTCTAATACAGACACATCTTTCTTAATGTAGCAATTAATATGATAAACTAGAATTGTTTCATTCATAGTTGGGGGTGTAGAAATATATATATATACCATATATACCATATATATATATATGGTAACACTTTAGATTAGGGAACACATATTCACTATTAACTAAAAGTTTTCCCTGAACAAACTCCAAAATTGCTGCGTATTAATAGTTAGTAAGGTAGTTGTTAAATTTAGGTATGGAGTCGGATTAAGTAATCTAGAATATGGTCATGCAGAATAAAGCAAGAATATGTGCTTTATAAGTACTAATAAACAGCCGATATGCTAGTAATTTGCATGCTAATAAGCAACTAGTTAATAGTGAGAATTGGACCTTAAAGTTGCCCCTATTATGGATTTTTGAAAATCATATATTGTTTGTGTGTGTGTTTATATATTTATATACTTTTTTCCTCTATAAAAAATAATGTCATGTTTTGCATTATTGACCAAAATTGGGAATATTGTGATATACATTTTTCTTGTACTGCCTACTACTATGTTGCTATTTATCTTCATTATTTATATGTCTATTTTTTTTTAGAACTTGATCATTTCTAGGATTACTATTATTTGTATTAATTATTCAGATTAATAAGATGTTATTATAATTTCAGTAGTCTGATAATACAGTTCTAATGTTAAGTTATTAACATTTTAAGTTACTACCATTCAGGCTATACATTTTAGATACTGGTAAAAAATGAATGCAGCCTGAATGCACTGTAAGCCGCTTTGGATAAAAGCGTCTGCTAAATGCATAAATTATTATTATTAAAATTATTATTAATTATTAAGTTAACATTCATTTACATGTTTGTTTTTCAGGTCACGCCTCCAGTAATAAACCCACTGCTAAGTGGAATGCCGTTTCAGTGAAAGGACTGGATGAACACGGCTTTCTCTGACAGCAGATCTCATCACCAAACACTGCGGATTGTAATGTGTAGTATGCATTCAAACACAGCGTGTGTGCCAGTATCAGACTTTACATTTGCACATTTTCAAGCCAAAAGAGAACAATATTACGTAACTTTAAAGAAAATATTCCAAAACACATGTCAACCTGTTGTTGGTGACTCCCAAAACCAAAATATGAACCTTTCATAACCCATAATAGGGGCACTTTAAAATAAAGTGTTACCATATACGCGTGTGTGCGTGCATTATTTCATTAAAATCAGACCAGAAAGAATTTTTTTCTTATTATTATTATAAGAACAGTACATTTACAAAACTAATATTTATGTTGTTTTTTCTTTGCTTTCAAACATTAAACGGAGATTTTATTTTTATAAATATTTTAATATAAATTTAGTCATGCGTGTGTATTGTTTTAGTGTTTATAGTATTTGTTTAATAATTACTTGATAAATAGATAATTATATAGATTATATAGATTCTAATAATAATAATAAATGAATAATAAATATAAATATATTTTATATTTTATAAATATTATAAATATT